TACACGTAACCAGTTGTGAACGCAGAGAGATGAGAATTTCACTCTATCCTGTTGGCAAACTGGGCTTATTAGCCGGTGGATTTTGCTATGTAAAATTCCGTCCCAAGCTGACTTGGGCTTAATACGCTGCTGGGCCTATTACCCGTGGGCTTAATAACTGGCGACTACTGTATAGATAACAACGGTCTAGTTCCAAAGGGCTATGTTCAACTGTTAATATATCTAGCTAACTTCTTAAAAGGAATCCCAGCCTTACGACTGACTTACATGACAAATCTGATCGCAGGAATTATACATAGCTCTGAATCTTCCGGTGGCGTCGCTGGTGGTGACTGAAAGGTGAGCCGGTTGGTCGACCAAAAGAGCCAGAAAATCAACGTTTGCACGTGGCGAGGATTTTGTCTTCGTGCCTTCGATGCCTATTCGGACTGCATTTGGGGACAGAGGGATTGAGGGAATGCATTTGACAAGTGTCAATTTCCTGTGAAAACCGTAAATAAAGTACTTTGACTGCTGCAAGCTAGATGCCGCTAGATCCATTGCGTAATGCTCTAACTCATCTGCGGATTCTGGTTGATATCACTTGATGCATTCCTCATTTACCTCCAGCAAATCTAAACGGGCTGGTTCTCAATCGTATTCTGCGAGCGTTAATCAAAAAAATTGAAAGCTTTATAAGCTAAGCATGATTCCAAAAGCCATTTCGTCTAACTGCTAATAGTTGGTTTCCATCGGTAACGTAGTTTTTGGATGTAGACGCAATTTGTATCGCGGTCCTAGAAGGCGTTTGGTGCGTGAGAACCGAACCGACGCCGTACGTAGGCACATGGCATTTCAGAGTGATAGGCTGTTTGAGGGCGTATAGTGTCGGAAAAAAATGAGGAATTAAGTGTCATATTGCCTGTTTTAAAACGACTTGTTCATTCTCCAGCCTGGGGGCAATGAAGATTCCTCTCAAGTCTATTTATTTTCATGAAGCAAATAAATGGAAAAACACCCCGAGTGGTACACGTAACTGACCGGGATAGTTGGGTCAAAACACTGTCTTTTTCTTGAGGGAAATTTAACACCCGCTCGCAGGCAATTCGTCCATGATCTGACTATACGCCTTTAATCACCGAAGCTGTGCCCCAGCGCTTTTCTATTTACTTTTAGCGATGCTTTTGTTTGTGCCATCATGCGAAAGTAATAACGATTCCTTAAATAAATTTCCTACTTATGGTCTTGTATAAGCACCGGTGAGTGAGAGGAAACACTGATGTAGGCTTCCCTAGAAATCAATGCAGAGGAACTCTACTGACCAAATTGCTTCTATCGCTTCATCAGATTTCCAAAGAGGTCAACAGCCTATTTTGGCAATATCATCCGTGTCAGTAGACATGCTGATGCATTCTGTGGAGACAATTGTGTTTTGAGGCCTCAAATATTCCTCCTTTAAAATCATTTTCTGAGGTTTCATCAAACCCTTTTAAGGCTCA